GAAAAGCCCCAGGCTTGGCTCATAGCAGGAGCTGCCCAAGTGTTAGTCCCTCCCATTTTTCTAAAGGTGTCTGGTGGAAGATCCTGTAGAGGATGCGTGGGGGAGTCATGCCCACACCCGTGGGCCTCCAGATGCTGCCTATGGCACAGAGTGACACCTAGCTCCCTCAGTGTTCTCTGAACCTGTCCATGGGTGACCCCAGGCCCCTTCCATCTCCCCTAATTACTCTCCTCCATCCTGAGACCCTGGGGGCACACCCTGAATGTGATGCCCCAGGAAGGAAGCTGGCCATCCTGAGCCTTCCCCCACAAGAGGCTTTTCCAGCCCCAGTGAAACTGCACCTTGGGGCATGAACCTCCCATTCCCCTCTACCCTTTAGCAAGGTTTGGGCATGTCGACCTTGCAGCTGGAAAAAGGCTAGTTTCCGGTGGCAGCACCCTCAGGGACCCTGGAGTGGAGCCCTGACTGTGCAGTGGGGGAGACACGCCAGAGAGGGCAGGCATGGCTGAGGTCACACAGCAGGCTGGCCACAGAGAACCTCACGTGTCGGAGCATTGCCTGAACCAGGCTGTATCTGCCCCGTGGCATGAAGGAGGGTGTGGCTGGTGGCCAGCAGCCTGTCCCTCCTGCTATGGGCAGCTCAGAGGGAGGGACAGGGCCGATGGCGTCCCCCACTGCCCTGAGCCAGGGAGGGACTGGCTGCCGGGGGTCTGTGTGTGGTGCTCCAGGCACAGCTGCCGCCTGCCTACCTGCCTGCCTTTGCTACTTACCTCCTTTGTATTTATTGGTCCAATTTTTAAACTCTTACCCTTGTAGGAAGCCCTTCAGGGGGCAAGGATCCAAAATAAAACACTGATTAAAATGCATAAAATACCTCTTCTTGACAGTTGCAGGAGTAGCCGGCAGCATGAACAGTGCCGGGTTGGCAGGATCAGCACATTGCCCACTCAGCAGTTTGGGCGACCCCTCAGACATGACTCTGCCAGCATCCTTAGATGACAGGGACGCCATGGGGGTGGGGGACCAGGACACTACGCCCGGCGGGCCATGCCTTTGCTGTGCCAGCTCGGGCAGGCATCCGAGCCTCTCTCAAGCTTCAGCTTCCCCACCTTTAGGTCAGCCACATGTAAGAGGCATGGGGCGAGGCGTCTCAGAACCTGTGTGTTCCCAGAGCTGCACAGAGCGTGGCCCCTGGCTCCGTGGGGCTACTGCCAGGCCTGGGGGTGGCAGCTGCACAAGGCAAGGCTGACCAGCTTTTCTGCCAATGTATTTCTCTTTTATATGATGATTGATTGACTGCTTTTAGAGATGGAGAGTCTTGCTCTGTTACCCAGGCTGGAATGCAGTGGCGCAATCATGGTTCACTGGAGCCTCAAACTCCTGGGCTCAAGAGATTCTCACCTCAGCCTCCCTGAGTATTTGGGATTATAGGCGCACACCACCACGCCTGGCTAACTTTCATATTTTTATGGGAGACAGGCATCTCACTATGTTGCCCAGCCGGGTCTCGAGCTCCTGGCTTCAAGTGATCCTCCCACCTCCACCTCCTGAGTAGCTGGGATTGCAGTGTGGCAACAGAGGGACTGCAGCACCACTGTGCCCAGCTTCCAGCATACCGCAGCTCCTCAGGTCTCTCACTGCTCAGCGGGCCTGATCGAGGGTTAGCCCCACCAGAAAGGCGTCCATCCCTGCAAAAACTCACTCGCGCACCTGTTTCCTTTCAAAGAACACCCCCTGAGGTCTGTTCTGTGCCACACCTCACTCCGAGCGACAGACACTCTCTGCCTTTGGGCACCTCACTCTCTAGCAGGTGAGACACACGCACCCATGACTGAACCAGGAAACATACATTCATGATGCTGAGGCTTTAGAGCGAATTTCCCTCTTTACTCAAGGTCACTAGGAAACTCTCACCTTTAGTCATTAGGCAGAACTTGGTGGCATTGTTTCCTGACTGGCTTCCTTTTTTTTATCTTTTAATGGTCTTGTAGCATAATTTTTCTGCCAGTTGGTTCAAATCACTTTGGGAATGAGGTGTGCTGTATACCAATTACATAAAATCACTGCTAATAAGAATAACGTGGCTACGGTGTTGGGGGCAAGAGGTGATATCTGACCGAGTAGGTCAAGGATGGCTTCCTGGAGGAGGCGGCCTTTGGGGTGGAAGGTTACAAAGGCTGCTGGGACAGGAGTCTGGGACAGTTTTCCTGAAGAAGATGTCTTAGAGGCAAGAATGTGCAGGACAAAGTGGGGAGGCCCAGGTGGCTTTGCTCAGGGACTGGTGAGAAAGGAGGTTAGTGGGCAGGTTGAAGCCAGGTGGCATGGGCTTCCTGCGTGCCAGATTCCTGTCTGTATGAGGGGATTACCGGCACCTCAGGGTGGCCCATGTCCTCACTAGCCCCTCATTCCCCAGCCGTCTCTCCAGCAGCTCCCACCACCTGCCAGCCCGGCCCTGAGCTGGATGCGGAAAGTCCTATTTACTTCTTGAGGTCCCGAGCCTCACACCCGCACCAGCCCCAGCTGCCAGCCCAATTACTTATTGATCGCCTGTCAGGATGTTTGCTTTTCTGGTGGGTCACTGGAGCGTGTGTGACTGTGGAAAATAGCCTGGTGGCGGAGGGTGGAGGCTGAACTACAGAAGAGCCTGGAGAGAGAGGATGAGAGGGGCTGAGGGGAGGGTCGGGGTGGACAAAGCCCTTGGGGATAACAAAACCCTTGCAGATTCCATAACATGTCAGTGACACCCTGAGTCCTCTGCTTAATCAGTCATTTAGTCAATCAACAACCACCAAGCTCCTGTCAGTCCTGGGAGACTGGTGGAGCATTTGCAGGTGTGTGACTTTGTGGACAGGCCAGAGCTCCCACCCCAGAACTGCTCCTTCTACTGGCTGGGTATCGTTAGACAGCCACAACCTCTCTGAGCTTCAAGTTGCCGTAATGGCTGACGCACGGATGACAAGGATGGATGGCCCGTGGCCTTGAAAGCAGGGGCTGTGTGAGGTGTGGGGAGGGGTGGGAGAAGGGCCTGAGCTAGGGCAGAAAGGTGGGACATCCAATTTGGGCCTCCTCTTCCTGCAGTGAGCCCCCTTCAGGCCATGAGTGCAGGGTGTGGACACAGCGGCAAACCCCGGGGCACTGGAGGCTGGAGTGGAGGAGTAGGGACGGGGCTTTACCCCACCAGCAGCGCGGTGGCTGCAGCTTGGCCCCCAGAGGCCATCCGATCCACCCCTGGAGTTTGGAGGCAGCTGCTCCTAGGGTCTGACCTACCCTCCCCCACCCCCCACTCACTCTGTTTACCCGGCCAGTTTCCCATGGGGGTGGATGGAGAGAGAGGAGGGAAGGAGGAGATGTGAGGCAGTTTGGGGCAGAAGTGGGGACAAGTGACCTCTAAACAGGGGATGGGAGAGGTACACAGAGGCTCCCACGTGCCCCTTTCTCATCCCAGCCGCAGCCTATACGCACGTGGACCCCACTCCTGGCAGTTCCTCTTGTCACCACCTCCCAAGCCCTGCATGGCTTCAGGGCCCAGCTTGAACAAGCCGGGGTGTTGCCACAGGGACAGACCCCTCCGGGGTTGCCTGGCTGTCCTGGCCTGTGGGAATCTGCGCCTTCCTCAGACTAGCAGCTGTGCAGAACCCCGGTGCTAGGAAGCAGGTGGTGGGAGCCCTGAGAGACAGACAGGTGAAGGCTGGGGGGTCTCGTAAGAGGGGCCCCACCTTTTTTTTTTTTTTTTTTTTTGAGACAGAGTTTCACCCTTGCTACCCAGGCTGGAGTGCAATGGCGCGATCTCGGCTCACCGCAACCTCCGCCTCCTGGGTTCAGGCAATTCTCCTGCCTCAACCTCCTGAGTAGCTGGGATTACAGGCACGCGCCACCATGCCCAGCTAATGTTTTGTATTTTTAGTAGAGACGGGGTTTCACCATGTTGACCTGGACGGTCTCGATCTCTTGACCTCGTGATCCACCCGCCTCGACCTCCCAAAGTGCTGGGATTACAGGCGTGAGCCACCGCGCCCGGCCGGAGCACAGTCTTAATTGGGTATCAGAAAACACTTCTTAGAGCAGTGAACTTAAATTAGGCCTTGAGGATGGGATTTCAACAGCCAGGGAAGGGGCATTGCCAGAGCAGAGAACCGCAGGAGCCAAGACCAGGAGGCAGGAAAAGACTCTCCAGGCCCTGGGCTCAGACGCCTGAGCTGGGTCACCGATGGGACCCAGAGGAAGGGGAGACTCACAGATCCCACCGAGTCCAGGCTGGGTTTGCAGGTGCACGGGGACGGGGAGGGCGGCTTCAAGGCTGGGCTTTCCGGATGAGGGTGTCCTCCAGCAGTCCAGGAATGCTGTGGGGGCAGACCGTGGACAGTGACTGGTGTCATTGGTTTACTGCAGACCCAGCCACAGAGCTGATGGGGAGAGAGCGTGGCATCTGCACCCAGGGAGGCTCAGGGCTCAGGGCTGAGCCAGTGGGATCCCCGGCAGCCTCAGAAGCCCTGGCCATGCATGCTGGGGGGATAGCAACACTCGGCTGCTCGGCTCAGGCTTCTCAGGGCTGTTCCTAGAGGCCTCAGCCCTTGAGCCCCTTGATCCCCGCTGTGAGCCCAAGGCGGCTCAGCAGGTCTGGTTTTATCCCTGATGAGCACCAAGGGAACTGTGACTCAGGGCAGGGCATGTGCCTGAAGTCCACCGCCTGTGAAATGTAAAGGAGGTGGCGCCAATGCCAGGCTCTCTGAGGTGACCCGCCCCTTCCCTGAGCCCCTCCATCCCAAGGATGCTGGGAGGGTCCTCTGGGAAGACTCCGGACAATGTAAGAGGCAAAGAGGAGGCAGCATGAGGAGGCCAGAGGCCCTCTGGCCTGGGCATCTGGACCCTGGACCCTGCCTCTCTGTCTGCATCGGGGTCTCCGTGACAGGACAGGAGGGGACCCAGGCGGCTTGGGGTGGGGTCCAGACACACACTGCCCCTAACCGCCACCTCTGTCCTGTGCTTGCTCCCGGCTGCAGGTGAGCGAGAGGATGCTGGCGGGGGGCGCGAGGAGCATGCCCAGCCCCCTCCTGGCCTGCTGGCAGCCCATCCTCCTGCTGGTGCTGGGCTCGGTGCTGTCAGGCTCGGCCACGGGCTGCCCGCCCCGCTGCGAGTGCTCCGCCCAGGACCGCGCCGTGCTGTGCCACCGAAAGCGCTTTGTGGCAGTGCCTGAGGGCATCCCCACCGAGACTCGCCTGCTGGACCTGGGGAAGAACCGCATCAAAACACTCAACCAGGACGAGTTCGCCAGCTTCCCGCACCTGGAGGAGCTGGAGCTGAACGAGAACGTCGTGAGCGCCGTGGAGCCGGGCGCCTTCAATAACCTCTTCAACCTCCGGACGCTGGGTCTCCGCAGCAACCGCCTGAAGCTCATCCCGCTGGGCGTCTTCACCGGCCTCAGCAACCTGACCAAGCTGGACATCAGCGAGAACAAGATCGTCATCCTGCTGGACTACATGTTCCAGGACCTGTACAACCTCAAGTCGCTGGAGGTCGGCGACAACGACCTCGTCTACATCTCCCACCGCGCCTTCAGCGGCCTCAACAGCCTGGAGCAGCTGACGCTGGAGAAGTGCAACCTGACCTCCATCCCCACCGAGGCGCTGTCCCACCTGCACGGCCTCATCGTCCTGAGGCTCCGGCACCTCAACATCAACGCCATCCGGGACTACTCCTTCAAGAGGCTGTACCGACTCAAGGTCTTGGAGATCTCCCACTGGCCCTACTTGGACACCATGACACCCAACTGCCTCTACGGCCTCAACCTGACGTCCCTGTCCATCACGCATTGCAACCTGACCGCCGTGCCCTACCTGGCCGTCCGCCACCTGGTCTATCTCCGCTTCCTCAACCTCTCCTACAACCCCATCAGCACCATCGAGGGCTCCATGTTGCACGAGCTGCTCCGGCTGCAGGAGATCCAGCTGGTGGGCGGGCAGCTGGCCCTGGTGGAGCCCTACGCCTTCCGCGGCCTCAACTACCTGCGCGTGCTCAACGTGTCTGGCAACCAGCTGACCACGCTGGAGGAATCGGTCTTCCACTCGGTGGGCAACCTGGAGACGCTCATCCTGGACTCCAACCCGCTGGCCTGTGACTGCCGGCTCCTGTGGGTGTTCCGGCGCCGCTGGCGGCTCAACTTCAACCGGCAGCAGCCCACCTGCGCCACGCCCGAGTTCGTCCAGGGCAAGGAGTTCAAGGACTTCCCCGATGTGCTGCTGCCCAACTACTTCACCTGCCGCCGCGCCCGCATCCGGGACCGCAAGGCGCAGCAGGTGTTTGTGGACGAGGGCCACACGGTGCAGTTCGTGTGCCGCGCCGACGGCGACCCGCCGCCCGCCATCCTCTGGCTCTCGCCCCGAAAGCACCTGGTCTCAGCCAAGAGCAATGGGCGGCTCACAGTCTTCCCCGATGGCACGCTGGAGGTGCGCTACGCCCAGGTACAGGACAACGGCACGTACCTGTGCATCGCGGCCAACGCGGGCGGTAACGACTCCATGCCCGCCCACCTGCATGTGCGCAGCTACTCGCCCGACTGGCCCCATCAGCCCAACAAGACCTTCGCCTTCATCTCCAACCAGCCGGGCGAGGGAGAGGCCAACAGCACCCGCGCCACTGTGCCTTTCCCCTTCGACATCAAGACCCTCATCATCGCCACCACCATGGGCTTCATCTCGTTCCTGGGCGTCGTCCTCTTCTGCCTGGTGCTGTTGTTTCTCTGGAGCCGGGGCAAGGGCAACACGAAGCACAACATCGAGATCGAGTACGTGCCCCGGAAGTCGGACGCGGGCATCAGCTCCGCCGACGCGCCCCGCAAGTTCAACATGAAGATGATATGAGGCCGCGGTGGGGGGCAGGGACCCCCGGGCGGCCGGGCAGGGGAAGGGGCCTGGCCGCCACCTGCTCACTCTCAGTCCTTCCCACCTCCTCCCTGCCCTTCTCCACACGTTCTCTTTCTCCCTCCCGCCTCCGTCCCCTGCTGCCCCCCCGCCAGCCCTCACCACCTGCCCTCCTTCTACCAGGACCTCAGAAGCCCAGGCCTGGGGACCCCACCTGCACAGGGGCGTTGACAGACTGAAGGTGAAAGCCGACAGACCGACACACGGCAGAGTCAGTAATTCAATAAAAAAGTTACGAACTTTCTCTGTAACTTGGGTTTCAATAATTATGGATTTTTATGAAAACTTGAAATAATAAAAAGAGAAAAAAAAAACTATTTCCTATAGCTAGTCGGAATGCAAACTTCTGACGTCCTGATTGCTCCAGGGCCCTCTTCCAACTCAGTTTCTTGTTTTTCTCTTCCTCCTCCTCCTCTTCTTCCTCCTTTCTCTTCTCTTCCCCTGTGGGGAGGGATCACTCAGGAAAACAGGAAAGGAGGTTCCAGCCCCACCCACCTGCCCACCCTGCCCCAGGCGCCATCGGGAGCAGGCTGTGGGGCCAGGCCTGGGCCCAGCTCCGGGCTGGCTTTTTGCAGGGAGCAGGTGGAGGGGACAGGTCTGCCGATGGGGGTGGGAGCCTGCCTGCTGGGCTGCCAGGCGGCACTACTGCCAGGGGTGGGAGCCTGGCTCGGGTGTGGCTGAGACTCTGGACAGGGCTGGGGTCCTCCTGGGGAACAGCACAGTCAGGGGAGAGAGCCAGGGGCTGGAGTGGGGCTGACCCCAGCCTCCGGTCCCAGCCCTGCTGCTCACTTGCTGTGTGGCCTCAAGCAGGTCACTGGCCTCTCTGGGCCTCAGTCTCCACATCTGTACAAATGGGAACATTACCCCCTGCCCTGCCTACCTCACAGGGCTGTTGTGAGGAATTGAGATGATGTATGTGAAACACTTTGTAACCTGTAAAGCGCTGTGCACACGTGTGGGTGACTGTTCTCATTATGGTCATTATTATCTCACTGGGGGGGATGGGGCTGCTGAGGGGCCCTCCGTGGGGGTAGGGTTGGGGGCCATCGGGCGAGGGGCAGCTCCAGGGACTTCCAGAGGCTCCTCCTAGGACAGCAGCTGGGGCTGTGGCTGGCAGCACTGGCTGGAGAGGGGTGCTGTAGCCCCGAAGGGGATCCTGAGGCTGTGGACACAGAGATTCCCTCACCGCTGGTCTAGTGGTGGGTCTGACTGCCAGGCCCGACGGTAACAGCTCTGCGGGGCTCAGGGCTTAGCTCCCCGGAAGCCGGAGGCTCCCTGCAGCATTGGCCTAGACTGATGCAAGGATTGGCCCTAAACCTCTGCACAGCATGCATCAGGCACCTACTGTGTGCCGTTTCCCACGTAGAGTGCCCAGGCTGTGGGGCTGGGGGGTGGGGGCAGTTCTGGGGCTGCCCTTGAGGCTTCCCAGACCCAGTCACCATCAGTCTGGCCCCATCTTTCACCAGGCCATGCTCTCAGCCTGTCCCAGGCTGTGAGGGCTTCTGGGTTTGGGGCCGGGATCTGCCTGTGTGTGAGCAGAGGAGGAGGCTCACCAAACAGCTCCCCACCACTGCTTCCAGCCCTGCGCATTCATACCAAACCCAGCAGCTCCAAACTTGACCCTGGAGAGGGGCGCCCCCAAGGATGGACTGAGGAGGCGGGCAGTCACCTTGTAAGTTTCCCATCGGCCATGGGCCTCGACCCAAAAAGCTGGGCCAGTAGTTCAGCCAGCAGACCACCCTCATCTCTGCCAGGAGGGAGGGGCTTCAGGGTCGGGGAGGCCTGGTTTCTCCCCTCCAGGTTCCCTCTTTCTTTGGCAACTCCTTGGGTTCAACCCCATAGTGGACCCAGGGTGATCCCGCTGCTCATTCTCCAAGCTAGGGGAGAACCCCAGCCACACAAGGATTGATGGGCACAGACCCAGCTGAAACGTGGAGGGGAGCAGTAGGAAAGTCAGCCCTCACGGCAGCAGACTTTGGGATGCAGCTCCTCCCACCAGGGTTCCTCCCAGGGCCAAGGCCCCCACCCAAACTGGCGCAGCTACATGCCTAGCACCTTCTAAGCCAAGCCTCCATGGTGGGCGGAGTCAGGCATGGAGTTGGCAGTCAGTCACTTATTCATTCATTCAATCTGAAGGCATCTCTGAGAGGCTGCCTGGCTCCTGGTTCCGGCTGCAGCAGTTGGTAGCCATAGCTAGGCCAGCCTGCCCTCTCCCGCGTCTACCAGCCGCCACCTGACATTGTCCGTGCTTCTGGGGAGGCTCAAGCCCTCTGAACTATGGCTTTATCCCCTGAGAAGAAACAGGATCCTCCCCCCGTAGGATCCTGGACTATTGGTGTGCAAAGGTTGAGTGAGGGTCCCTGGGGGCAGCCTAGACCAGTGGTTATAAGGCTGTCCAGTGTGACAGGCCTGGGTTTGAGTTCCAGTCCCAGCACTTACCAGCTGTTTGGCATTGTGACTGAACTCCTCTGAGCCTCAGACTCCTCGCCTGTGAAATACATGATGTTACTGGTTCCGGTCATCAGGAGGATGGAATGAAAGCGCGTGGGTTGCCCTGTGGGTTGTGCAGTGCCTGCCTTTCCATCAGTCCCTTACAACTGGCAGTGGTGACGACAATCCCACTCTTCACAGGGTGGCACACAGCCTCTAAGTGACAGGTCCGGGGCCTGGCTCAAGGCTTCTCAGAGCCCCTTCTGAGCAGAAGGAGGGACAGGGGAGGGGTCCTTGGGTCTGTATACAACAGGAGGCCACGTGAATCTTCAAGAACCCCACAAGCCTGCCCCTCCTCCCAGGAGAGACCAGCACACAGGCCTCTATCACCCCAGACCTGGAAACCCAGCTGGCATGTCCTCTGCAGGAGGTGGCTTATACGGGTTCTTACTAACCCCTCTGGGACGCCTCAAGCTTCTGGTAAGAGCAGGGAGGTCCAGGGGCCAATTTAATCCTGGCTGCTGGGAGAGAACCGGCCACTGAGGAAACTCAAGAACATGAGAAAATGCCTAGGTTGTTTTCAGATGGGGCAGGATCAGTTTGGGGGAATGTGAGTGCCCGGGGCCCCAGGACTGGGCAGAGCCCAGGTGGGAAGCCAGGGGGCCTGATGCAGCCCCTTCCTGGCTGTGTGGCCTTCATCTGTGGAAGAGGGTCATGAGCTCAACTGTCGCTGAAAGCCCTGCTGGATTTAAAGGGCATCGTCTGGGAAGCAGGGCTGGAGAGGCTGCCTTCTCCATGCCTGGACAGCCTCCGCAAGGGGGAAAGGAGGAACAGATACTGCCTTGCCCTGGCACACACACGGCTGGAACCTGAGCCCGGAGGTGGTTGGGAGGGCCACAGCCTTCCTGGGCCACCCACACTGCCCCACAGCCCTGATGGCACTGCTCTGCCTCAGACCCCATGAGGTGTTGGGGGCAGAATGTCCTGCTGCCTCGAACCCTATTGGGAGCTGGCTGCCCTGCTCACCTTTTAATCTGGGGCCAAGGCGACGAGGCTGGAGGAAGCTGTTGGGGAAAAGGCAAGATAGTGAATTCTGAGAGTCCAGTCTGCTTTCCAGGAGACGGAAAGACCGGAACAGCCTCCAGGCCTGCCTCTCCATGAGGCAGACACGCCTGAAACAGCAAGGATGCTGAGCCCGGGTACCCACTCCCGACATTCAAGTGGACCAGGCTGAGGCAGCACCAGGAATATGAGTGTTAGAGCGAGCAGCGAGCACCAGGCCCCCTCCCTGGTATACCCCTCACAAGTCAGAATACGAGGCTCAGAGAGGGAAAGTAACCTGCCCAGTGTCACACAGCAGAGTGGCAGATGGGACATGGGCTTTGGAGTCAGGCTGACCTTGGTTCAAATCCCACCTCCACCACTGAGTCCCACATACAGAGTAGGGTGTCTGGGAAGATGGAAGACAGTGTGGTAAAGTGACTCTACATAGGGTGTGGCACCTGTTGGGTACACTAATGACCACGTTACTAGTGTGACATCTTCACGGGCAAGCAAGGGGGTGGTGGCTGAATTCAGAACTGGTAGGGTAAGGGACTGTGCAGGACATGACAGGGACACCAGATGGGTTGGGGTGGAAGCCACGCCTGGCCATACCCTCAGCTCTGCCACTGGAGACCTCAGGGCCACGTGGGGAAGATGGGATTGGACTCCAGGCCATAAGCCCTATTTGCCCAGGAGAGACAGTGGCTGTGTCCCGAGGCCCTGGAGGATAAGGCCACAGTCTGTGGTTAGAGGCAAGGGAACATGTCACAGAGGGCAAGGGAGAAGGGGTGAGAGGAGGCGTGTAGACCCCTGGCTGGCATCAGGAGTCCCTGGGGAAGTTCTGTCACCAGCTGACCAAGGGCCCTTGAGTCTTTTAGGGCCTGAAGTCAGGGTTCAGAAGGTGCAAGGGGCAGGGAGCACAGCCCAGCTGGAGCTAAGTGACTTACTGGAACCCTCGGAGAACCTGCTTCCACTGTCCATCGCCTTTCCTGCTTCTCTCCCAACTTGGGTGCCCTCTGATGACATGACAGCCTGCACAGGACTGAAAGTCCCCAGCTCCCATTCAACGCCCCAGCTCCAGCCTCCTTCACAGTCTGGCTGGCTAAGGGCTCTGATTTCTTCATTCCTAGACACCAGAGAAGAAAAGTCTGAATGGTCACTCACCAGCCAACAGGTTGGCTGCCTTGAAGTCAGGCGCCCATCCCCATGTCCAGTCGGCTGTGGCCAAGGAGCTCAACCCTGCACAAGCCAAGCTGGGGTAAAGAGGTGCAGGAAGCATGAAGGACTGGATCAACTGTCTATTTCTGCGTAACCACCACACCCAAAACCACCGTCTATTCGTCCCTAGCTCTGGAACTTGGGCAGAGCTTGGTGAGAACAGCTCATCTCAGTTCTGTGCGGCGTCGACCGGGGAGACCTGACGGCAGCTGAAGGTCCCAGCTGGCTTCCGACGGTGTCTGTGACCTCAGCTGGGAGGCTGGAGGGGCTGCCGGGCCGCTGGCTCCTCTCTTTCTACACAGTCTCTCTGAGTTAGCTGGACTTCTTTAGGGTAGCTCACCACTCCAAGGTGATGTAATAGAAGCTCCCAGGTCTCCAGGCCGAGGCCAGGCAGACCCAGAGCACCACACTGGCTGCGTTCTGTTGGTCAAGGCAGTCTCAGATGCCCCTACATTCATCGAGAGGGAGCACAGAGCCCCGCTCTCACTAGGGGAGGCTGCAGTCACAGGCAAAAGGGCACGCAGGCTGCGAGAGCTGTCGCGGCCACCTTTGGAGGTCACCTCCCACAGGGAACTCCGCTGTGCCTTCTTCCTTTGAGGAACCAGTAGTGGGTGCAAAGCCCTGTACGGTTTGCTCAGGAGTAGGGGGCTTAGTGAGAGATGGTGACTGGTAAGAGCCAGGACCTGAACCCAAGTTTGCTGTGCAGTCTGGGGCCCTTTCCATAGCGAGCATGCAGGGGAAATATGGCAATAATCACAATAGCTAGTGTTTATGGAGCGCTCGTTCGTGCCAGGCCCCAGGCCAGATGCCCTACGTGCCTTCTCTTATTTCATCTTCCCAGGAGGAAGGGCCTACACATCCCCCTTCAGATGGGAACACTGAGAAGAGACTGTCAGGGGCCACTAGCCGGCAGGTGCTGACGCCAGGATTCACACTCCGGGCGTCAACACTTCCCTGAAAGAAATCACCGCATTGGGCCCGAACCACTCCAGACTCAGGCTTCTTGTCTGTGAAGCAGGCACGGCCTCCTTTCTTTGTGGAAGCTGGTGGAGGGTGTGCTGTGGCTTGGGAGGGTGAGCACATGGTGGGGGCATGTGAGAAGCTTCCACCCATCCTGCTTCCCCCACCCTGGCCCCCAGCCCACCTGGCATTCCTGTGGGGCCCTGAGACCAGAGCACGGCACCCAGGCCCTGCAGCCTGCTCTGAAGGACTGGCCCTCTAGGCCTGGACTGGTCCCTGCTGGTCCACAGGGGGCCACGGGGCAGGGGTCT